GGGGTGGGCTAAGCTGGGCACCCGGGAGGTGGCTACTTCTTCCAACACTCCCCAGCTCAGCAGGCCAAGCCCACCCCCAACCCCAAATCCACATGCCTCTGGGAGGATGCACTTGGAAAGTCTGGCTTCTCAGGGGGGCAGGGGTGAGTCTCCCTACCCCTCCACCCCTCCTACTCCCCGCATTGCTTCTCAAGGAGAATTATTTTAAAGCCTCACAGGATTCCTCCCAGGGGGGTCCCAGGCTGGTGGAACTCCTGCCTGCCTGACCCAGTCCGCTCCGGCAGGGCAGGAAATGGGCCTGGGAATTCGACTATAAGCTGCTGTCAGTGGAGTGAATGCTGGAATAAAAAAACAGTCACTGCCGAAATAGTCAGAGAGCAATTGTAATAAAGAAGAAGATTGCCATGAAAACCAACTGCCTTCCCGCCGGCCCCAGGAACACGAAGAAAAGCATTCGCAGTAGCAACAGGGCTGAAGGCTGGCAGGAATGGATTGTTTTAATTCCTTTTCCTGAGGAGGGGGAAGCCAATGCCTAAAAATGTGGGAGAAGGCGAGCCCAGAGCTGTGTGGGGAGGGAGCGGGGTGGCAGGAGCTGCTTATGGTGTCTTCTCAGAGGCTTCTGTTTGCTCCAGAGGTCCAGGGCTCGGGAGGAGGGAGGCTGCTCCCCTGCCGGGTGTCACCGGCCTGCTGTCAGTATTGGGCAGTAAGTAGCGGGAGTCACATGCGGGCAGAATGGGGGTGATTCCTCTCCAGATCCCACAAATGTCATGAGCCAGGAGAAAGAAGCGACAGGTGCCAGGCACAAAACAGAGGCTGTTCCCTCCTGTCCCCCATGTCTCTGTCTCTATCGGGCGGGGAGTTCTGTCTGCTGGCCCCAGGCTGGGGCCCGGAACGGTGCCTGCACATGGTGGGTCAGAGCCCTCATAAACGCTTCACTCCTAGGTCTTTGGCAAAGGTGACCGGGCCTGGGAAGGTGCCCCAACCTGTGGCTCCAGGGTGGGCTGCGTGGGCACGGAGGAGCACTCCGTGGAGGGGCAGGCTCGCACCCTGGTTTTGGCTGGCCTTCCCAATCCCGCAGTGGTATTCCAGGGGGCAGCAGGCTGGACAGAGAGAAGCCTCAAGCCTGCCCTGAGGAGGCTCTCACAGTGCCCTCTGACGTCTGTGCTCCATTCTCAGTTGCCCCTCTGTGGCCTACTCCGCTGACCTGCCAGCCACCAGCGTCATCATCACCTTCCACAATGAGGCCCGCTCCACCCTCCTGCGCACGGTGAAGAGGTAAGCCACCCCTTGGGACCCTCATCTCAGTAGTGCTGCTCTCCGAGGCCTCAGGGAGCGCTGCCAAGCCCCTGGCAGGGGGGCACGGGGGCAGGGGGGCACACTGGGACAAGGTGCTGGGCCAGGCAGCATGAAGACCGCGGCCACTGGGAGGGGGAGTCCAATCCTTCTGAGAGGCTGGGGCTGGGAGACCCCAGAAATCCAACTGATATCGGGATGCACAAACACAATGTCAGGTCCCCAGGACAAGGGCAAAAATTCTAGGGTCAGGGTCCGAGGGAGGCAGGGATGGACATGAAGCCTCAAGTGGATGAGTGGCAGGCCAGTAGGTGTCTGTCAACGATTCAGAGGGAGGTGCTCCTCTGTCCTCCTAAACTTGGTCCTGTGGTCCAGTACAACTCCTACTCACCCCATTTCTTTAATGAGAACAGGATGTGGAAAGGAATGCCCAGTGGTATTCCAGGGATTAAGGAAGCATGGGTTTCTTTTACCAGGGAGTGGAGGAAGAAGAAGGATGGTGGGAAGGAAAGCGGGAAAGGGCTTCCCTGGGAACATCCCTGCTAACCCATCGGGCCAGGAGACTCTAGGCAGGCAGACTCTAGGCAGGAGACTCTAGGCAGGCAGTTCGGGGTCCAGCTGTGTATTGCCCCCGGGCAGGGCTTGTTAAGCCTAAGCAGCCAGGGCAGCTACAGGTCCTGTCTACACTGGAGCAGTTACCATCACCTGTCCGGCACAGGTCCCCGCAGGTGCAGGGCCGGCCGGGTCTCCGGAAAAGCCCGGAGAACACATTGTTCCTCAGCCGCTGCTCAGGGCCCAGAAGGTTTGCAAGCAGCTGCCGGTGGCCAGTGTGCTGGCCCCTGAGCTGGGTGGTGGGGGAGCTCTGTGGCAAAGAGAGGTAAATGGAAGGTGGCCCCTGAATCCAGGATCCTCTGTCCCCATCCTTCTAGTGTCCTGAACCGAACTCCAGCCAGCCTGATCCAGGAGATCATTTTAGTGGATGACTTCAGTTCAGATCGTAAGTTTGCACTTTCTGTTTTTCGCATCCCTCCAAACCCTCCTTCCCCCAGAATGTGGAGGCCAGCTCTCCGGAGGTCATCCTGGACCTCACAGGCAGACCTCTGCCCCCGACCAGACCTTCAGTCTTTTCTGGGTGCCCTCCTTGACTCTGCTCCCAGGTGCCAAAGGAGGGGAAAGAGTGGTGTTTTGTTTTGTTCTGTGTTTATTTATTTAAGTCATCTCTACACCCAAAGTGGGGCTCAAACTCACCACCCCGAGAAGAAGGGTCCACGCTCTTCCAACTGAGCCAGCCAGGCATCCCAGAGTGGTGGTGTTTTTGGATGGGACACCCCAGAGATGACCTTTTTAACAACTGAAACAACACCAGTATAGCATCCTTTGTTATTACAACTGCCATATGCTGAGGATTGTCCCTTCAGTGTGGCTATGCTGGTGTTGGCCTCGCGCCCTACTAGTGCTCTCTGGCGCCCCCTGGGGGCAATCCCATTAGTACAGGCATTCCTCTGTCTGGCCTGGGAGTGGGGCACAGGACAATCCTTTGGCCATTAGAGATGACTGTGCTCCTGCGTGCCTCCCCAGCCCCAGCCCCTTCCCTGGGCTCGCCATGGGACACCTTCTGGGCAGTTCCAGGGGCGACCGAACCCCTTAGGGCCTGATGCCCCTGTCTGAATGAGCTTGCTTCCTTCTCCTCACCTTCAGCTGAAGACTGTCTGCTCCTGACCAGGATCCCCAAGGTCAAGTGCCTACGCAACGATCGGCGGGAAGGTAAGTTCTTGAACCCGAGGTGTCACCACAGACCTGTTTTGGTCTAGACCT